TGTGTGTGTGTGTGTGTGTGTGTGTGTGTGTATGTATGTGTGTGTGTGTGTGTGTGTGTGTGTGTGTGTGTGTATGTATGTGTGTGTGTGTGTGTGTGTGTGTGTGTGTATGTATGTGTGTGTGTGTGTGTGTGTGTGTGTGTGTGTGTGTGTGTATGTATGTGTGTGTGTGTGTGTGTGTGTGTGTGTGTGTGTGTATGTGTGTGTGTGTGTGTGTATGTGTGTGTGTGTGTGTGTATGTGTGTGTGTGTGTGTGTGTATGTATGTGTGTGTGTGTGTGTGTGTGTGTGTGTGTGTGTGTGTGTGTATGTATGTGTGTGTGTGTGTGTGTGTGTGTGTGTGTGTGTGTGTGTGTGTGTGTGTGTGTGTTGGTGTGTATGTGTGTGTGTGTGTGTGTGTGTGTGTGTGTGTGTGTGTGTGTGTGTGTGTGTGTGTGTGTGTGTGTGTGTGTGTGTGTGTGTGTGTGTGTGTGTGTGTGTGTGTGTGTGTGTGTGTGTGTGTGTGTGTGTGTGTGTGTGTGTGTGTGTGTGTGTGTGTGTGTGTGTGTGTGTGTGTGTGTGTGTGTGTGTGTGTGTGTGTGTGTGTGTGTGTGTGTGTGTGTGTGTGTGTGTGTGTGTGTGTGTGTGTGTGTGTGTGTGTGTGTGTGTGTGTGTGTGTGTGTGTGTGTGTGTGTGTGTGTGTGTGTGTGTGTGTGTGTGTGTGTGTGTGTGTGTGTGTGTATGTATGTGTGTGTGTGTGTGTGTGTGTGTGTGTGTGTGTGTGTGTGTGTATGTATGTGTGTGTGTGTGTGTGTGTGTGTGTGTGTGTGTGTGTGTGTGTGTGTGTGTGTGTGTGTGTGTGTGTGTGTGTGTGTGTGTGTGTGTGTGTGTGTGTGTGTGTGTGTGTGTGTGTGTGTGTGTGTGTGTGTGTGTGTGTGTGTGTGTGTGTGTGTGTGTGTGTGTGTGTGTGTGTGTGTGTGTGTGTGTGTGTGTGTGTGTGTGTGTGTGTGTGTGTGTGTGTGTGTGTATGTATGTGTGTGTGTGTGTGTGTGTGTGTGTGTGTGTGTGTGTGTGTGTGTGTGTATGTATGTGTGTGTGTGTGTGTGTGTGTGTGTGTGTGTGTGTGTGTGTGTATGTATGTGTGTGTGTGTGTGTGTGTGTGGTGTGTGTGTGTGTGTGTGTGTGTGTGTGTGTGTTGGTGTGTATGTGTGTGTGTGTGTGTGTGTGTGTGTGTGTGTGTGTGTGTGTGTGTGTGTGTGTGTGTGTGTGTGTGTGTGTGTGTGTGTGTGTGTGTGTGTGTGTGTGTGTGTGTGTGTGTGTGTGTGTGTGTGTGTGTGTGTGTGTGTGTGTGTGTGTGTGTGTGTGTGTGTGTGTGTGTGTGTGTGTGTGTGTGTGTGTGTGTGTGTGTGTGTGTGTGTGTGTGTGTGTGTGTGTGTGTGTGTGTGTGTGTGTGTGTGTGTGTGTGTGTGTGTGTGTGTGTGTGTGTGTGTGTGTGTGTGTGTGTGTGTGTGTGTGTGTGTGTGTGTGTGTGTGTGTGTGTGTGTGTGTGTGTGTGTGTGTGTGTGTGTGTGTGTGTGTGTGTGTGTGTGTGTGTGTGTGTGTGTGTATGTATGTGTGTGTGTGTGTGTGTGTGTGTGTGTGTGTGTGTGTGTGTATGTATGTGTGTGTGTGTGTGTGTGTGTGTGTGTGTGTGTGTGTGTGTGTGTGTGTGTGTGTGTGTGTGTGTGTGTGTGTGTTGGTGTGTATGTGTGTGTGTGTGTGTGTGTGTGTGTGTGTGTGTGTGTGTATGTGTGTGTGTGTGTGTGTGTGTGTGTGTGTGTGTGTGTGTGTGTGTGTGTGTGTGTGTGTGTGTGTGTGTGTGTATGTGCGCGTGTCGTTTTACAATGTATTTGGCAATGGTAGTACATGATGTGATTGTATTGCTAGTGTGCTAATCCATTCAGGCAGAGATCATGCAGCAGCCATATACATGTACAGTAATGTGTGTCTCCTCCAACTCCTCCCATGTCTACTGATTGATCAGCATGCATGGCAACACGGTCACGATAATGATCTTATTCTTCCTCCAGTCTGGACACGCTGTGACGCGGTGACAAGCAGTACCAGGCATGCATGCCAATGTGCCTGTCAACATGCCACATACTGTAGAACGCTGATGACAGGTGCCACGACGCAATGGTGATGTGGGCCATCATTCATTCACCACGCAAGTCGGCGAGGGCGAGGAGCGAGCAGAATCTTCTAGAACCTTGCTAGAAGCTAGAGCACGGGGGACGCCGGAATACGTGCAACTTGCAAAGGAATTCAGATAGTGATGCAAGGAAGATACTGTGTGTCCCAACTACACGTACATGTACATGTATATTACAATGTACTAATACACCTTGTTTAGTTGTTTACAGTATTTTGTCAGGGACTCTGACAGCGAGTAGTGATAGATTTCTACTCCCTGGTATTTGTTCATTGAAAATGCACTACATGTATATATTAAACTTTGAAACTGAAGAAAGACACACACATACACACACACACACACACACACACACACACACACACACACGTGGCAGTGGAGTGGGTGATCACGACATCAAACAACACCTACTCGTACGAGAATGAACCTTGTAAGATTACTAAGAATCTGTGTTCGTATCAGATGAGATTACAAGTTATGGAACGTGCATGTATTGACAATACAGTGTCCATGACGTGTAGAGAGCAATCTACGCGAACCACATAGTCATTACACGTACTTCTAAAATGTACTTCTAACAACAACAATTACTAGTAGTTGCAGAGCACAATGTGGCGCTGTTGCAATCCCTTACTAATTTTACTTACATGAGCAAGTACATGACTTGTGATGTCTTCTCAAGTAACGCAAGAGCACAATCATATTTGAAATTATGGTATTATACATGTCGTATACCTGCCATTGCACACCTCCCCCGCGCGCACTCTTTCCTAATAATCCGGAGCCAGCAACTACAATGCTGTGAGCAGAAGGCCGAGTTTTGTCAACAGTTTTACGTGTCGTGCGTGCTGGAAGCGGTTCTGCCCATGTATACCCACCCACCCCTGGTATGGCAGCGATTGACGACATGCCACTAAAAAGCACACCGTCACGTTATGGCACAATAAAATACGGTCCGCATTGACGATGATATCATTGTTCTACTGATAAGTCTGGCATAACCATTGAGTTCAATGTCATGTGCATGACTTTGTGCATGTCATGTGCATGTGCTGGTGCGATCTGATTGAGATTGAAAAACCATCTAATGCAAATATTATAATACTATGGCAATAGCAATGGTGCCTGGTGGTTGTGCTGTGGGCTGTTGCAATGACTTACATGTACATGTACAGCGAAGATATTCTACACTGTCATTTCCGACCCGTCACTTGTAGATACAATGTATACTATCGTTTACATGACTGCATACATGTACATGTACATTGTACATTATACATGTATACTCATCACAGACATTGATATCTAAATGAACATTATTTTCTCATGGGGGGGGGGGGGGGCACTGTGCTGATGTGGCCATGGCGCCATGATGCTACTCATGTACAAGTCACTGATGCAACTCATTATACAGCTAAATGTACATGAATCGTGTTGAATTACATCTGAAAGGAGACAAGTAAAGTTAGTTTGGAGAATACTGAATGTCCCCAGTCATACCGTACCCGTGTGCGTCCATTGGTGAAAACACGAGTGCACTGCAATAGCCTCAAACGTTGTACTCAGACAAATTAATTACAAATACATTTTAGTACAGACTGTAGACAGACAGAAGAACGAGCAGTTGGATTTTCGTCACTGAACTCTGAGTTTCACGAACGGAATCGATCATCAGACGAAAAGACTGTAGATAAAATAATGTACTATCAAGTATCATGTACCTCACGTAAACACGACAGAATATGCCGTGGTATACTAGTACTACGGTACATTGGCGCGTCTGTGTGTTGTGACGTTGCGTTCGATGACATAACAATACATGTAGTAGTAATGCCGTGACCCAACGTTGAAATAACGGTCAGTTTAGTTGCCCAACGTCTGAGCCTCTGAAGTACCATCACGTGTCATGGAGAAGCACACAGCCTGGGCCTAGCGCCTAGACTTGTGTAAGTAACGTTAGTTGAGGCAACAAGAAAGTACTGGGCCTCAAAATGGCGGCATTGGATGGCTCAAGCAATAATCATAATAATTACTAATATCAAATTGTTATTTTCAGTCAGCCTGCATGCATGCAGACTGTACTCCCACTGTAGTCGTCTTTGCAAGAGGAGGAGACAAGGGTGGCTCGGGTCACGGGTCCCTGGTTGAACAAATTCTCTGACGTTCTTTGCGAGCTGGTCAGTTTTGACTGGCACGTTGAAATGCGTGGGTGCAATATCCCTGCCTGCGTCATGACACGACTCAAGAGAAGCAAGGACGTTGAGTGGCAGCTTCTCAAAACTGTGTTGATGTTGGCGTCACAAGCCGGCTCTGCATCGTGTAGTGTACGTGCATGTAGTGCATGCAGTGGTCCAGTCGGCAGTCTACTGTAGTCGCTTGAGTGAAGCAGGGCACGAACGCACCATTATCGCTTCGTTGACTGAGCCCACGCAAACACAAAGGACATCCTGACTCCCATCAGCTGAATGACACAGCACACCTACGAGGCTACGTAGCTACATGGGCTGCAGATAGTGGATGGGCCGTGGTTGCCACACCATGCCTACCACTGTACTGCCCCAGCCAGTCTACGGTCATCGGCTGTGACCATACATGATTGCTCATAATCATATCAATGACTGACAGAATAGTGAAGTGTTAGTTTCACCTACAGCACTGCAGCCGGTGTGGTACGTCAAGTCGCCACCAGCACGGCTGGGCAATGACACGGGACACATAATGATTGCGAGGACACGAGCGCTCTCGCACCAAGCAGGTAGGAATGTAGAGCGCAATACGATGCGTAAGCATCTCGCGGCGCCTATAAAACCCAATCGCGACTCTCATTTCGCCAGAACCTTCCTTCTGAGACAAAACACTTGTAGCAAATAATCCTATCTGAAGATCGTGAATCATCCACTTAGCTGAAAGCTCAGTGCAGTGTAGACTATTACGACACACGATCCGAGTTTGTTTTCCGAGTTTCCCTTTTCCGTACTTCACCCAGTCTTGCGGTAAGTCAGCTGATTGCCAATCGAGTTCTACTAGAACATTCTCCGTATTGCAGACTCTGCAGTTATAAACACTACTGCTTGCTACCAGCTGAGCATCAGTTTATCTTAGCATCACGGCAGCGGCAACACCAGTAACAGCAGCACCTACAACAATCTTCAAAATGAAGCCGGAAAGCGATGTTCAGCTACCAGTGGCAGTGCAGGACAGCGAGAAGGTCGCCTATGAAGAAAGTCTAAGTTCAGTTGAGCGACGCAGACTATTCTCAAGGAGAACCAGCGAGGATCTTATCCAGCTGCAGACGCAAGTTCGCCCCGCAACACCAATGACGAACCTGAGCGACACAGCGCTGAGTGCATCTGAGCGCACCCAGCAAGCTGCTGCCTCTTCAACCCGCACACGTTCCATTCTGAAATCCAGCCGGCAAGGCCGTTCTCCGTCACCCACGAGACGTGTAACATTCCATGCCAATGTTCTCGTGTGGGCTGCTGCTGAGGATGGAGACCTGAAGACTGTCAAGACGTTACTCAACGCTGAGAAGCACAATCGGGCGAAGCAGCCCAATGAGAAGCCAACACTGGACATCAACATGTCGAATCATGAGAACGTCACCCTATTGCATCTTCTGTGCTTCCTCCGTGATGTGGATGCGGTGTCTTTGGTCGTTGAGCTGGGTGTGGATATCAACGCTATCGATCGTGAAGGCTGGTCGGCCTTGCACATTGCCATCGCTCTCAATCTGCCTGAACTGTCTCGACTTCTCGTTCAAAGTGGAGCTGACACAGAGTTCACACAGGACAGTGGTGCTCTGGACTTAGCACGGGTATCCGACAGTGCCCATGTCAAGCCTCTAGTTGAAGATCTCAAAGCTATCAGCGCCATCCAGTCAGCTCTCAGCTGAACACTGTCAATGGACTTCCAGATCACAGAATGAGAACTGAATGATCGCTGAATATATATTTCCCATACAATTTCACCTTACCATCAAAGACCACCACGTTTTGAGACATTTTTCTTGTTACAATCATCATTTTATTGCCTTGACGCTTGAGAAGTTTCTGCTCACCTATTTTAATAATTGTTTGGCAAATCTCCTGGTCACACGAACAGCCATACTGTTTTATCCAGCTGACATTTTTGTATACGTACTAGTAGTAGTACTACCGATTCTTCATAAAATGTGCCAATTCTAAGCACATAGAAGTAGACCTTGAGAATGCAATGAAGCTGGAATGCAACAATTCCAAAATCAAATCTCAGTTGCAGTTGGAAGACGATTGTGGTGGGTTGTCTCAAGACTTGCACTATGCCATATACGGTCATAGTGTATGCCCGCTTGAACACGCGGATAGGTGTCATGAGGCCCTGCATGCTAGGTTTCACGAACTGTAAAATTAATGTATATTGTTATGGTAGTCGGTACGCGGTCGACCGGTCATCCACGTGCTTGTTTCAAACTCAAGACAAGACCGGGGAACATACAATAGGCCACCCACCCGCACAATTCAAACACCTAAACTTGAGAATGAAGTGAAACTCAAGTGGCCTAAAGTACCACGTGTACAGTGTTAGCATTCAGTGAATACTGGAGTCGGTAATAATATACACTATTATTACTACCAGCTCTGGCACAATGGATGCCTTGCATCTGCTACAATCTGCCTGCAGTGCCATGGGGTGGGGCAAATGTTCCAAAGTGCCCAAGTGGTCTGCTATTTGCAGAAGCCCTGGCACTTTGAATTGTTTTTCCCCGTGCTTTGCATGAGGTGACGATTCCCATGCATTCCCCCGAGCCAGAGACTACTCTTATACACATGTACTGATGTAGAGTGACACAGCGATTCTCTTCTTTACCGTATGTGCAACCTTCTGATCTTCCTCAAGCAGGCCACACCTAGTACCTGATCCCCGCCTTCTGACGGCACGACGCAATGGTCTAGATCTGCAGTTTACCCAGTGTGGTCGCATGTCGTGACTAGTCATAATATTAATAATAATTATTGAATGTATGATCAGTGCCGCCAACTGTGCTTGGCCTGCCGCGGACAAACACGCACCGAGACACTTGCCTGTACACGCTGGATGGATGATATTATGTACCATCACTATTATTATTAGGCATTATGAGATGACAGACACTCTTGGTACGTCCTGCCACACATGTATGATGCATTCCAGATGTATAGCTTCCAAAGGGAGAAATAGCAATGGAAAGGCTCCACGTCATTATTTACGACATTACCACGTGTACATTTCGGACAGAACTGACAGAGAACAGCAGCCAGTCTAGTACATGACTGATTTTGCAACTGCCAGCCCATACAGAACGTGTTGCAGTTGTTCTGCCAAGTTAGTTTTGGCTTGCTTTCACAACCAAACACGAACACTGACAGGCCACGAACTACTTTCTGACACACACAAACACACACCCTCTGATATTATTATCATTATTAGCTTCGAACCTCTTTTCTGGCACACACAAACACACACCCTGTGATATGCACAGTACATGTAGGTATATACATGTATCTACAAGGAGGAATAATTGCACTGTAAGAATTTCCTGTTATTATGTCGACATGTACATGTACATGTATGTGTAAAATGTTATACATGTACGATGATCGACAAAACAGGAAATGCTTACAGTGTAATTAGTCCTCCTTGTAGCTATAATTAAAACTGCTGTCTCCGAAACGCTTGTTTACATGTACTGTAGATAAAATAATTATCATTATTTAGCTCCTCTATTCATGGACACAATAGCGGAAAGATGTTATGTGCCAGTGCCACTAATGATGACGATGTCTCGACTGGAATGACATCATGCAACGGATCATGGGAAGTGGTTAGGAGTCTTAGCCTCTTACTAGTCTTAGGTCTGAGTAACTTACTTAATAGGGGTCATCCGTAAATACCGATATTTATTTAGAAACGAAAACTAGTCGTCTCTCTTCAACCCCCCTCCCCCTCCCTCAGAAACGAACACATACAAACGATGCATAGTATAGATATTTTTTCTTTTCTTTTCTGGACGTGCCCACACATACAAACCGTGCATCGATATTTTTCGAGAAACGAACAGGCGCTAAACCCCCTCCCCCTAAACGACTAGTTTTCGTTTCTAAATAAATATCTATATTTACGGATGGCCCCTTTAGACTCTTCCCTTCAGCTCAATCCCGCCGTTCAGCGCTCTGGCAGTGGCGCTCTTGATATCAGGTGATACGGCGAAGAAAATAATTATTGTACTTTATTACAACACTTCTTGAATCGTCATACCACTGATTCGCGATCGTTGTGTGGGGTTGGCATGCACTACTTTCTGAAGCCATACATGAACATAGGGATATGGCATTTTCGTCAGATCAAACGTCGCTTGAAACGCTTTCTTCATGTAACAAGGTGGTGGGGAAGACCCACTTGCGGCGACCGAAAGGTGGCAGGTGATAGTAATAATGGAACGGTAATCTCACACCTGAAAGGCTGGTAATAATGCATACAACGTGTTTGGATATTCGCGTATCACTTCAAGTGAATGATTTAGTTCAAGCATTGTACATGTAGGATCATCGACCGACGCAACTGGAATAAATGCCATATTATGGAAGCGCCAACTCCAGGCTGCCTGGCACCATTCAGTAACCGTATCGCACGTTTTCAGCACAACAATTACATTCTATCGTCCAGGTGAGAGGTGAAAGCGCTCAGGATGACGGCACGCACAACAGGGCAGGGCTAGCTAGCTATCCTGGTGTCGTGGGGAGGATTCAGACGATATCATTACGGAATGAGATTACTACTGCACTGCTACTGGACTGGTCACTGCTGTGAATCAGTTGGTGCCAAACTGACCTTTTTTCAATGGCTATCTCTGTAGTAGCATTATTCATTGACTGACAATCTTTGAAAGCTTCAACTTTTCAAGTATTGAATTAGAAACGTGCGGGAAGGAAGTATCGATCACAGACCACAGACAACATTGTGCAAAGCATAGGAACGACTGCAGACTCATTGCCTATTTTCGGCTGGGTCAGGTTCGCTCTTGTTGCTATGGATGAGAATCGGGTTTTGACATGATTGATGTGCGTACTTGAAACCTCGAACTGCATGAGCTGCCACTGACGAGAAGTAATGAGTACTTGTGTGCTTGTACATGTGTGGCATTGACAACCTCATGCGGCTACATAATCATTAATCATTTACTACATACTGTACATGTACATGTAAATAAATGTGCCTTGTTTTTTAAAACACCACGTGATGCAAACATAGTGCATTAGTGGTATACATATATGTAGCAACTACCTTCGGCGGATGTGCTGTAGTACTACTACTAGCACTCTTCGGGCAGAGTTCATAAATCATTATAGCAATAAAAACTGCTTCATGGCAGTTTTCTAAAAAAAGTTATTGTGTTCTAGTCCATGGACCCCGTCTAAAAAGTAAGAAATTAACGAAATGTGATAGCCGAAAATTAAAATTTCACACAAAACCTCACAATAATCACGACACTTGAAGATCTAATAGTACGGCTTTCAACACTTGTTTATTCCGACACTTGTACTTGTACACGTACATGTACTGCGCCAACATGCTTGCATATGAAAGAGGACCACGAGGGGAAAAGGTCGTCTCGCATCCTGTGTGTGATTATTGTGAGGTTTTGTGTGAAATTTTAATTTTCGGCTATCACATTTCGTTAATTTCTTACTTTTTAGACGGGGTCCATGGACTAGAACACAATAACTTTTTTTAGAAAACTGCCATGAAGCAGTTTTTATTGCTATAATTTCTTTTGTTTTTTTGGCTAAAGGATATTATTATTATTATTTTATTGATTTTACTAGGGTGTTTCCCACAGACCTATGGTCTTCTTACGGGAGCCCCTAGAAAGGTTAAGCATGAACGAACAAATGGGCGATAAGCGCGAACAGTGGAAGGCAGCATATTCCACCGATCAGAACCTATAATTGTGTCACCAATGGAATGCCCTAAAATTAATGATGGCCAACATGTAGCGCCTCTACATGTTATTATTATTATTTTATTTTACTAGGGTGTTTCCCACAGACCTATGGTCTTCTTACGGGAGCCCCTATGTACATGCACGTGTATCATTATCAAATTCAATACCGTATTTATACGCATTGATGTGCAAGCCTTTTCTTGCAGAAAATGGAACTAGTCTTGCGTACATGTACACTGTATTCAGGTTCTTCTATTATGGGTAGTGCAGTGGCGGTGATACCTTTTTTATACGCAGGTCATTCTGTGGATGTTGCAGAATTTCATGACTCTGTCATAAAATTGTCTTGTCTTTCAGAAAATTCAGATGTCCACACCCTAAATCACATTTACATGAGAATTGTAACCAAGTGCGTGCCGCAGATGTTTTTGTTGATTCTGTGTTTATAATTGTAGTCATGGGTTGTCGTGATAAGGTCATCTGGCATCATAATTATTGTACTGAAATCGTAATTCTGTTGATGTCGATAAAACTTTTGGAAGCAGTTCAATGACTTCAAAGTGTTACAAGTCCACGATTGTCTAAAACAACACAGCAAAGTAGGAACAATAAACATGTATTAAAATGTAAAAAAATACATTGCTGAGTCCGACACCTCATTCCAACAACTACACTGATCCTGAGGATATAAGGGGCAAGGATATATGGTTGGAGGTACTGAGAGATAAACAAGGCACTCCATAATAATAACATGTTACACGACTTTGGGGGAGTATGAATGATATCCAGTCAAACCTCTTTAGGACGAACATCAAGGGACCGATGGCATTTGCTCTGTGAGTTTGTCTTAACCCTATTTTATAACGAGTGAATACAATTATTTCTCCAATAGAGACACGAATAGATTTCTTCTACAGCGAAAGATTCTAAGCCAGACCAAACCATTGACTCGTCTTTTATGCCCGATTCATACTTCATGTCGCGTACGGGAAACGCGTTGCGTCGCGAAAAAGTTGATCTGAGCTCAACTATTTCGCGTACGGGAAACCCATCGCGCGACGGTCGCGCGATGGGTTTCCCGTACGCGAGATGAAGTATGAATCGGGCTTTATGAAACAAATGAGTCACTGTACCTTTCTTTAGCAACATGACGGCAACTGAAACAACAACAGAGAAAATACGATACATGTACAGCACATTCTTGCAGGTACAACAAACAGATTGCAGATCGTAATTCTTGCTCTACCGGCACGCAACTTTATTTGGGGCAGTGCAATCTCGGCGC